CCCTGTTTTAGCCAAACCAGGACACCTGTCTTGCCAAAAATTGTAAATAGTAAGTCAAATAGTTGGTTGTTTTTTTTAATTAGATGCAGTTAAATACAAAGCCATCGTTTCTTTTGTGATCATTCAGAAGTGTCCTTCCTGTCTTTTTTTCAAGGTCTTTTTAGCACAGGATTTATTAATTGTTACATCTCTTTTTAAATCAGACTATGAAGGGAGATTCTCATGGACTAGTCTGTGATCTAGGAGTAGCCTTTACTACTCCTAGGGTTTGTAGCATATTCAACTGAAAATGGACTCTTCTCTGTGTTCCATTGGTGCAGTATTAACACAGTTAGAAAACCTATATTCCTAGAGATTAATTGGACATTATGCCACCTGACTGCCGTTTATTTTCAGGATTCATGGTAAGGATGGTCTACCAAGATCAGATTTAGGCGGGCAGGAGTGCATCACTTCTCCATTCCCAGGTACATCTTGCTGGGCACAGCCACTGTCTGAATCTAGAATGTAGTCTGTGTTGTTCATAATGCATTCCACTTTTTAAAGCTTTGCATAAAACTATACATGATGGATAATAAAACATCTGTCCATATATAAATGTTTCACTTTTCAGAATGACCTGAAGCACGGTGTGGGCTTTCGAATGCGTGAGACAGTCTGCCTACTGCTAGAGGGGCATGGGTGTTTATTATTAGATGTCCTGCATCATTATAGAATACAAAGCAAGCACATGCGTGCAAACACACACGTACAAAAGAATGAATAATTATGATAAACAACTGCCTAACAGGTATCTTTATAATGCAGAAATAGCAACCATTTTGACCAGGCGAAATCAATTCCCTATGCTTGCATCTTCATTGCTCTTCTTGTGCTACTTTTTCTGCAGAAAGTATATAATGAAATTATTAGCAACAAAGCACCGAGCCTTACAGAAAACAGAATTAAATCTAGGCTGGTGCTAATACTCTTCCTCATTTAGAGTCTTACTCTTCTCCTGTACCAAATGTACTTCTTTTTCTCCTCTCAAGAAAACAGCTTTCTGGCATGAAAAGTATATGTGCTCCTCAAAGGTGCTAGGAAAATGAGCCTTGCTGTTCTCTCAGAGGTGGGGGCATTTTTCTGTCAGCTCATTCTAATCTGTCATTTACAAGTCTACTTTTGATATGAAGAGGAAGGCATAGACCAAACCTGTGACTTGGGGAATGTGGGCGTTTAATTTGGCAAAGAAGAGTTGTTCAGCAGCTATATTCAGAAATGCTTCCTCAGAAAAAAAGAGAAATTTCAGTCAATATAAGTACAATAGTAGCATTAATTTGGTTGGTATAGAATTAAGTAATGGATCACCAGTTTGTGCTGGCAGATCAGTTGTCCATATTTTTAGTTGTAAGGAAACATACTGTTATTCAGCAATGCAAAAGCCTACAGTAACCCAGGGAGAAAAAAAGCTGGTTGTCTTTAACAAGGGAGTGCAGAGGGGCCATGTACCTGCTACCCTCATCCCTGAGGGTCAGTCACAGATGAGGCTGGCACAGGGAAAGTGGCAGGGAACCAGGCAAAACCGGAGTACACTGACCCTCTCCCAGAAGATTAATGGTATCTTGATGCACTGCAGATACAAACAAGTACCAGAGACATGTCTACCTGAACACAGTCTAAGCTAATCTTGACACAGTTCTTGAAAATACTTCTATTTATTTTGAATCGTTTTTACAAATCTTTTAGCATATTGGAAGGACATCTCATATTATGAATCCTGTACTCTGTGGATTACAGGTCTCTTAGTTTGTTTAGATCAGTACCCTTATTTATAGTTAGTTATTAATCAAGGGGCTTGACAAGCGACTGCAAATAAAGCTACTGATGATTCAGTAGTTTGGTAGGAGGGTCATCTGAGGATTAGCATCTATAAACAGCCTTTATGAAAAGAAAAAATTTTTTGTCAATTAATTGGCCTGGAGAATCTTGTCATTTCAAGCTGTCATCGTTGAATTTTATTTTACTGTAATATTTTGAAATGAAGCAAAAAAGGAAAAGTGTCTAGTTAATGCTTTTGGCAAGCTCTCTGTTACTTAACAGCTTCTTGAAGTCCTAAATTTCTTCATTTTTCTTCTTAATTAACACTCTTAATTGACCTTCTGTGCTCTTTAATTTCTGCCAGTAAAGAATTAAAAAACAGGCTTCTAAATTCTTTTCTGCAATGAGATTGACATGAAATTGCTTGTCTACTGATCATTTCCGCTTTAACAACCTTTTTTTTTTCATTTTTGTTTTTTTACCACTGAAGTCCCCACTGGAAATTGCAGTCCATTGAACCATAGAGCTAGAATTGATTGTGCACATAAAAAATCCTGGAACAATTGAACAAAGAAAAGAACTTCCTGGAATTCTATGGTAAAATCAGAACTCAAGTGACAACAAAACTTTTACCCAATTTGAACTCACCTGCTCTTGATCATTAAGAAAATATTTGATGTTCCTCTGCTTTCCCCTGATGAGAGAAAGAACTAGTTTTTCCTTCATTTAGGCTATATCAAAGCATGGTTATAGATGTCAAAGATGATGAATGTCAGTCACCAACATTTTTATGGGGCACTCTCTATTCCATCTTCTTTATATCAATTTCTTATGCCTTTTGTAGAATACTGGAAAGCTAAGGCTAAATAAACCCTGCCTAATTGCTTTTAATTTTAGTTACTTTTTAATTAAAACTTTATGTATCACACATTACAATTCTAGCAATCCTAAATGTGTTTTTTACCATTTCCTTCCAAAATATAGAAGGCAAGTCTCCTTTTTAAGGTGTTGTGAGAAACTATAGTCAGTTCTTTCCTCTGGAGTTTATGGAAAGCATTACTAAAAATGCAAATTCTATGTTTTGAGACTTGAAACTTTCAAATAACTATTAATCTTGGAGATTACTTTCATATTCTGAGATGAAATAATGACATTTTAAGCACTTAAACCTTCACTTTAGAGCAAGATAGGCAAGCATATACTTTGTTTCAAGCATCTTAATTAAGTTGATTCCATTGGTCTTTTCATGTGTTTAATGTTAAGCATATGCCTATGTACTTTTCTGAAATGCTGGATGGTATTTAGCAGAATGAATTACATCCCAATAACTAACATTTCTTTAAGAATCCTAATAATGTAGGAGGTATCAAAATAAGCTTTCATTTTCAAGATAAACAAAGTAACTTTTTGTGAGCGTTGCCTTTTTATTGCTGCATCCAGCTGTAAATCATGTCTTGAAAGCAAAATCATCTTTTAAAATGCATTTTTTGAAAAATAGTGCATTATTTTCTCCTGAGCTGTTGAGACAATTTCCTGCCTAGATCTGGTGCCCTAATAATTTTAGAGTGTAAGAAAAAGTCACTGTGAGCCATAGGGAACAATTTTGGATTTGCTGCATGTATCACAACAGATTTGCCTATAGTAGTTCTACAGATGATTTTTAAAAAACTCTTTGTTTTCCCTGTATTGGGATTAATGTCCTCCTTCCCTCAGATTTGTGCAGTAATATAGCTTTATGCTACACATAAATGGAGGATTCTTTTCAATGTGTAAAATTTGAAATTTGAATGCAATTACAGTAACAAGAGGAACTCTTTCTAATGAGTCTCAAGAAGCCCTGGCCAAAAACCATGTAAAACTCTCCTGTAGAGAAAGAAATTGAGTGCACGGTGTTAGCATAATAGCAAGGGCTGAGGCATTGCTTTGCACTACAGTTTTATGGGATGATATTTTAAAAGGTATTCAGAGATTTATGACTTTTTAGGGACAGCTAAAATTGTTTTCACATTTCTAATATTGCTTTCATTAGAATGTTGAAAGTATGTTTACAGTATCAGATTGAATTCTAAGGCATTACCAAATCATCCAGAATCCCCACTGCTTAAGTATATTCCCTTGTATCCCTATGTATCTTCAGAGGAAAAAATGGGAGGAATGTAACTGCTTTGTTTTAAAGTATATAATCTGTATTCTGTGATGTACTTCATCTCCCAGGGAAGGTATCTGGGAACTTACTCTGCTGTTTTTATTTATCCTGCCAATGTAGTATATAGACGAGAGGACTAAGGACCAATGGTGTTAAAACAAGACATGAAATATTGATTAATTCTTTTTTAAAATTCCTTTTTCCTCCTGAGTACAGCAAATTTCAGATGCTACTGTCAATATAGTACTCTCCAATAAACCTCCATTATCGGAAGGGTCCTGATCTTCATGGTGTTCTTGTAAATGGTTATTATGATTCTAAATGGCTTTAAAAGCTCAAGGCTAGTGTTCTTCTGGTGCACGAGCAGAAAGCAAGTTAGAAGCAATGCAGCTTTTTATCATAGCAGAATGTTACTCTGAAATAACATGAATCAGATTGGGAATTCTCTTTGCTAGGCAGTAGCAGAACATTCTGTTTCAAAAAATGAAGATCCTAATGGTACAGTTTCATGCCTGTAAAGGTGTCAAGTAAAGAAGCACAATTATAGTTGGTGTCCATCTAATGAAACACAGTATTTGAACCCTGCCTTTTGTTCCTACTTGTCATTCTTCAGCGCTAACTTAGACTCTTTATTTATTGTTTCCAGAATGGTCCTTTACAAATGCAGCTAAACAGATACTTGGGAATTTTCCCAAGGAAAAGGACGTTTCAGGAAAGGTAGGGATAGAAGTTCACATCAGCTAACCCATGAAGAATGATAGACATGGGCAAGGAAGAAAAAATGTAGCCCAAACTACTTTCAGTGTTCTTGAGTACAATAAAACTCTCTGGAAGTTGAGGTAATAATTTTTGAGTAGAAAAAAAAAAGAAATGTTTAAACTGGAGTGTACTGGAGTTTCTTTAGGAATGCAAAGCTCTTGGAATTTTTCTACTATCCATAATAAAAGATGTTAATCAGAGAGGGAATTTGAATCTCAGTTGTACAACTGTTTTTTCACCCATCACCTTAATTAGTATTTAGTGAAACTTCAACAAGAAAGAGCAAGGAAGTAACACAGAATCTGAGCCAAAAGCCACTGATTGGCAGATTTACCTGGGAGGCAGGAAACCATAGTATGTTTTTGCTCTGAACCAGGAAGAAACACCTGAGGTTGGTTCTTCTGTCTCGCACGGAAGTTGGGTTTTATGGGCTGGATAAGTTGCTATATGATAATTTTTTTTTCCACGTGAAAATTTTATTCCTGCCCCAGGATGAAAATCTTTTCAGAAGATTTTGTTGTTGGGGAGAACTGGTTCACACATAGGCCTACTTGAGAGTTCTTTTGCAGCAACACTTAATTGTGTGCACACCTTAGGCTACGTTAGCTTATGACAGAGAACAGACTGCTCCCTACTGTACCCAAAAGCTAAGAGCTAAAAGATATGGCATTAAGCTAAATTATCCCCTCCTCTGACTCACACCCAACTCTCTCAAACTGAGCCAAAGTTGAGGCTCTATTAAGATGGTTGTATGACTTCTCTGATATCTTTCTTTGGAAATTGGACAAGTTATTTATCATTTTAATATTATCAAATTAACATTTCAGTCAAACTGAAAGCAATATGTGCGCAAAGCTGGACTTCAACCAGTTTGTAAGCAGTGAGGGCTAAGTGTGTTCTTATTACTTATGAGGTTTTAAAGTAGTAAGTCTTGCTTGTGCAGGTTATATGGGTAGCTCTCTTGACTCCCAGCCCCCCATTGGTAACACTTGCATGACTAGAGTGAACAGGATTTGGTCTTTAGTTAACAATGCATATGTTTGCTCACCTAGCCGAAGTGTGGGCCAAATCCTTACACGTCATTTGTTGTCACTCATGCAGGTAATACTTTTGGAATGATTTAATGCAACCAGTTATTTGAGCAAAGGTTATCAATCTGGGCACTGTCCTCTTGTGTTTTCCCTCTGCTATGTTATCTTAAAGAATGATAACACAAACTTACATAAAGGGATATGCACAGAATTTTGGTTTTCAAAGCCCTGTATTACATGATTTTCTACCGAAATGTCCTTAAAAGTTTCATTACTGTGTGAATACTGTGAGAATAGCCTACTGAAGATTAAGATTTCGCTTGTGGAAGAAGATGGTGCATACTGACATGCAGAGAGGACAAACTCTACCAGTAGTTTGCTTTTTGGTGAACTTTATCTCATTTTACACACTCTACTAATTGCTGTCTTCAGATGTAAAAATAAATTATTTTCTGTCTTATGGGAGATGCGTTGTTTGACTTTGGATATTTAACATGGTATTTTTTCTGTGGACAACAGCTTGAGGCCCCAAGCTGGGAAGAATGAGAGCATATCTATAAATAATTCAAAATAATTGTATGGTTTTGACAGATTGTCAAGTTGCCTAATGCCTTTTGTCCCAGGTAATAGATTATATGTCTTTGATAAAGTGTTGATAGTTTCTCATTGCAATTTGTTTTGTGTATGTTGTATTTTTACAGAGTCCAGTCAGGTTCATATCTCAGTACGGGTTGGTTTACCTTAATTTTGGCTATGGATGCCTGCTATGGAATTCACGTCTATGGGATGATAAATGACACCTACTGCAAGTAAGATCACAGGAAATTATTTTCATGCATCTACAGTTCCGATGTCTTGTCAAAAATTCACAATTGATTTTAATATCATAAATCCAAAAAATGGATCAGGCAGTCATTTCCCAGTGTTTTGCATCGATGTGACACTATTGTCAGCAGATTTAGTCCTGATATGGCATTTGCTGTTGATAAAATAAAAACATTTACAAAATCTAACATCAGATGTCATAAGGAACTATTTTTAATCAAAGATCTTTTGCAGTTTCTGAATTAGCTGGAAACAAAGTATGTTCATACTGACAAAATGTACTTCTACTGCTAAAACAAATGTATAGAGAAAATTCTAATATATTAGTTCTTTGAATACCAAATACACATGGAAGTGAAGGAAGCTGATTAGCTCAGGATAGTTACCTGAAATTACATTTCACCACCACTGAGCAACCTACTTGAACTTTCTAGGTTATATATGGCTTGTTTTGAGTAGTAGGGGGTTTCTAATTAGATAATAAAACAAGTCCTGCAAGCTTTATCACAGTAAACTGACATAAATTCCAACCAACTACTGATAGCAACCTTACAGCGACAATGGATTAATCCTATTGTCAGAAGTATAACTCTAAACACAATTCTTAAAAGTCGAAGTTAATTGCTTTGATCTACAGTGTATGGTAGAAAAATACAAAATGAAACTATTCCTCATTCAGAAAAGTAGGAAATGTCATAAACAATGTATGATACTAGTGCAAATCTATTCTTCTGTACCTAGGCTGGTTCAAGTCTTGCATCTAACCAGTCCAGTGGGTCCTCAGCTCCTAAAGTCTTTGTGCAGATCCTCACTCCACATTCTGTGTTTTCCATGTCACTCCAGTGTGAGATTCATTCCTGGCAGACCCTAAAAACAAAAAAAAAAAAAAAAAAAGGAATTTGAGTCACAGCTGTTTAATTAGGGTATCTTAACATTAAAGGCTGACTTTTCAGAACTTGCGGATCTCACTGATTGAGTCATCCAGATGGAACGAACATATGTTGTTCTTTGTTTATGAAAACACAGTAGGCGCCCTGAGATGAGAGATGACAGGACTAAAGTTGTCCTCACAGAGTTCAGCCAAGCTGGCATTACATAGCCCTGATGTAAAACCAGTAAAGAGCATGATAGCACTTCAGTCTGTTGGCAGCAGAGAAGGATGGGTTTCCTTAAAGCTGCAATTCTGACTGTATTACCTACTTATAAAGTATATTATTCTTATAACTGCCTTATTCAGCCAGTTCAAGGACCAGTTTCAAGAGCTGGGACTATCCAATGAGAAGACTTTGCTTAGGGATGGACCCTTATGGACTGAGTTCTCCCAGGTTAAAAAAAATGTGCAGTACCCATAAGAGCCAGCCCATCAGCTTCTTACTGACTGATAAGGTCAGTGCGTGTTGAGAGATACACTTAGCTTCATTTTCTGTAGGAAAATTCATAGAAATCATGGTGTAATGAAAACCCTTATACAATTTAGCAAAGGAGCTCAGGTGCTGACACATGGAAAGGATTTCAGATAATTCAGGTATAGTATATATTAATTTTTCATGGAAATGTAGTATTAATTAATTTTTCATGTAAATAATACTCAAGTGTATCTTTTTTTTTCCCTAGGTCAGAAGGCTTTCGTAAAGTTCCCTACCACTATTACGAGCCAGGACGAGATGAGTGTGAGGAATACTTTCTGCATGAAAATGCTCCATATGGAGGCCATAGGTTTATCACGGAAAAGAAAGTATTTGCTAAATGGGCCAAGAAGCACACAATAATATTTACACACCCCAACTGGACAGTGTCTTGATACTGGTTTTCTTAACTCTCCCTTAACAGCATATTACAAAAATGTCTCAGTTTACAATAATTTTGCTTACATCTGGCTGGCCTTTCTCAGCCTAGGTAACACTGAACTAAAAACTAGAAGACAAAGAGGGTGATGGTTCAGCTGTTAAGCAAAATTAATCATCTGTGGAAGGCAGACACATTGTTTGTTATTTCTTAGGATTTTACTCCACACAATGCACTTTATACTTTAACTGGATTTTACTTCAAGGCAGTAGCAGTTAAAGACAGATGAGATCTCCTGTATATACAAGTGCACACAGAGAACATGGTTGTCTTTTAGAACTTGTCCATCACCTTAGTTAATTAAAATTAGTATCTGTAGCTCATTTGCAGTACTGCAGCACTAGTTCCATTTGTGGTATCAGTAGAAATTTTCCACAAAAGAAATATGAGGAAAAATATAGACCTCCAAGGTCTATGAGTGAGTACATTTTTAAAAACACCTGAATGCGTTGATACATGTGAGCACTTGCATATATGGTAAAATTAGAGATGAGCTAAACATGGTTCTTGAACTGTATACAACTCTTGCCTGAGAAGATATTATTAACTGAAAGCTCCCAATTAATTCATAACTTCTGAAATGCAGCTTCCTTCCACTCTGGTCAGGCTGCACCATCCTGGGTGGTATGGTTTGTGCTTTTTGAGGCTGTTGTCCCACAGTTTAGCTCCAGCAGCATGGCACTTAGGAAAGACTGTGTTTTGCAGCCCATGCTGAACCTTTGGCTGTTGTCCCAAGTCTGCTGTCAGTAACCAAGCTCATTAGTGTAAAGTTGTCTCGTGAACATGTCCATTTACTCCAGTTGTGCCTTTGAGTTGCTCCAACATCCAAATACCAGTATTTTGACAGTATTTCCCATGCAGCCATCATAATTCATTTTAAATCTCCAGTTTCTCCATCTTTAAAAATGGGGATAGCATCTATCTACCTCACAAGGGAGTTGTGAGGATTAATTTAAGTCCATAAAGCACTTTTCTGATGAAGAATGTTACAGAGCATTTATTCTTAACACGAAAACAATGGTACCTGTCATTTATTCTTGTCTGTTAGGTACTTGAAGAAAGTGACAGCATGTCTGGATCTGATGGTGAATTGTTCTGTGCATCCGCTTTCCTACTGAGGATAATTTGTAATACTGAGTTCTCTCAGCTTGCATTACTTCAGATGGAGTTGAAAGAACTCACCACCTCACAGTATTATCTGCACATCAAGAGACAGTTCAAGAATTCTAAAATATACTCATCTCTAGTTGAAATATGTATTTCCAAATTTACTTTCATGGAAAGTTTTCAACTGCAGCAGACTCATTTGTAATACGACCATGATTCAAGTACATATGTGAGTTTTATTTAAACTATATTTAAATTAATGCTTTAATTTTAGAATGTGTCCTACAAGTATTTTAACATCTGGAATGTCAGATTCAACACTGTAATAGCCAATACTGTGAACACTTGAAAGATTTATGTGTGGAACATGACACACAGGGTTTATTCACACTACTTAAACACTAACCAACAGGAAACTTTGTATGCTTTTGTAAATCATGAAAAGGGGAAAGTAAAAAGCTATTTTTACATGTAAGTATTTGTATACTGACTATTTCCTATTGTATATTTGTATGTATAAATCTATATTTTATATGTTCATGGCATATATATTCTCTCAGCAGCAGCTGCAATGTTAGGATGGGGAGGACATCTCTTCAACAGCATTCCTCTTCCTTATCATTAGTTTCTTGTTCCTGTTGGTAGGTGATGCCAGGGTATCATCTCTCTTGCCCCTTCTATTTTCTACTGTAAATGCAGCTGATTTTATTTTTAATATAGCTCAGCTTTCACTGCTTACTTTAATGCCGTAAGTATTCATGCCAGTTGTCAGACAAAGGCTGGGGCCATGCTTGTGATCCTGGATAAACATCTATATTCAAATACAGGCTCTATTCAAGGCTTCTTGCGTGACTTGATGTCTCACCTTCCTGTCTGGAAAAGGAGAACAGTGATATTTTCCTACTCCCTGTCTTGACTGACTTTCTTGTAAGCTCTTGAAATAGATATTCTCGTTTGCAATGTATTTGTATAATGCTTTGCCGAAGAGGTACCCAAAGTGTCTGAAGGATACAGGCAAAGCTATAACACACAAATAATTTAAAGTGGCTGCTTCTTGTCCCTGGAGTTTAAAATCAATTGTAGGCTAATATAGCATGGGATGAAATCAAGAGGGGGAAGGGTCATGGATGGATGAAGAGTTGTAGTAGCAAAAGACAGTGAGCTAGATTTATCACCATATGCATATGCATCTTTTCAGTTCAGATGGATGGCTGGATAGATGGAAAGCTAATAAAAAAATTGTAATGCAGGATTTGAAGAGTGCAGGACATGGAGAACTAGGGAGAATGTTCCAGGCATATGCACAGGGCAGCCTGGGAAAACCTAGAGCTCCCTTGTGGGAAGAGGAGCTGAAAAGGAGAACATCAGTCAAATTGAACTTCTCTTTAGAAGGTCTTTGGGTTAATAGAAAGCTACTGTGAAAGTGCTGCACATGGAAGTGTGGTTGGCCTGGACAGACTTACATGCGAAGTGTCCTCGTGAGGCATAGTCTTTCTTCCCAATGAGCCCAGCATAACGATTCTGCCTGAGTTGTGTTCACATGCAAGGCAATTTTTAAGCCTATGAAAGTTTTTAGGATAATTAAGACTTGCCAAATCGCCATAAATCTGTTGTAAAATATGTGCTTCATACTGAAGCTCCTTGTAGAGCGCCTGCATGCTGTATGAAACAATATCTCATGCAAAGGCTAGCTAAGAAAAATACAGCTCTAAGAACAGCTAAATGTACAGCAAAATTGAGAACATCATTCGAGTGCAGTTGTCACAGAGCAAAGTAAAAGCGTTGCTCTCCGCTTGGATTTGCAGTAAAAGCAGATCCACTTTTAGAAACATTGCAGCAGGCTTCATTCACACTAGAGTAAGTGAACATCAGTTCCCCTATTTAAATGAGCCTGTCTTTAGCATAGACTAAACACATATTTGCATGATTTTTATTATATGAGTAGAAAACTGTGACCACTGTGTTAAAGATGATTCTACAAAGAACTGACTTTGTTGGAATCTGTGAAAAATCAGCACTGCGGTACTTAAGAAAGAACCTCAGTGCTTGGCTGTGCAGTAAGAGACCTTGATGATTCACCTTCTGAGAGCAGTTAAGACATCAGCTGAGAATCACTTATTAATTCTTTAAAATAAAGCCTACTACACTTTACCTGAATGTAATCACATCCTAATTGCTTATTCATTCAAGCAGTCCTATTTTAATCAACTACTCATGTGTATAAAACAAGCAGGGAGTTTACCTGAGGTTTTCAAAATAGATTTTCACATTGTTGCTAATAGAGGAATACTCTCAAATAATTTGCTATTTTTTCCCACCAGGCAGCTAAGTAGTCACCAAATGTTTTCTTCTATAATTTAGTTAGGTTTTTTAATTACAGTTTTTGAATTTAAAAAAAAAAAAAGGCATTTCTTCTTTGGCTTGCTGTAGGCTTGGTTTTAATAAATGTTTAAATTTTAATACACTTTATGTTTTATGTTGCATTACCTTCTGATTTAATTTTTTTTCAAGGAAAAAAGTTTTAAAGAGAAGCAGAAATTTTCCTAAGGAAAAAAAAAAATCTTTTTGACTGGCTAATCACTAATTCATAGGTAATTAACTGAACAACATAAAAAACTGGGTTTTGTTTTTCCAGACAGACACAGCAGACATGATCCCAACCTTTTTATCTCCACTAGATGTCCAGCTCACACCCCTCTGCTTATATCGAGGTCTCTTTACAGAAACAAAAAAGCAGTCTATGTATCCAGCCAAATTCCCTTTCCATCTGGGCTGGGAGGCTCCATCTGCAGACTGCTCCTATCAGTTACATCAGTAAGCGGGAAGGACTGAGGAAGAGTTCTGCTTAGGAACAGATGGTGTTCCAGCTTCTAAAAAATGCCCCTAAAGTGCTTTAGGAGGGGAGTACCCATTGATCTCTCCTGGAAATACTTTACTGAAGTATTCTGTTTCTTCAAATGCTTTTAGCTCCTGTGTAGAACTATTGTCGTACCCTCTCCAGAAGGAATTGCCAGCAATGGGAAAACATGCGCCAGTAAGTAGAAAATCAGAAGCACTTTACATATTGATGCTTGTATTCTGCTGACTTTTTTTTCTGCCTGTATCTCAGAAATAGCGTACGTCTTTAGTTGTGCTAGAGCAAGTCTGGGGTTTGTTTATGATGAACCTTAGAGTACCCACAAGAGTGAAACTCTGTGTTAGTGCCAAAGGATCACACAGGAGCTGTCTGTGGGCATTGTGATGTACTGCATACAACAGCCTCATGTATTCACTAAAAAATGCCTGTTTTTCCTGACTAGGCGTAGTTCTTTTGTGGAGAAAGTGTTTCATTTTCAGCAGATGTGTGTCATTCTGTTCCTTCTTTCCTGAGAGGATGCAGAAGAATGCGACTTAACCATAGGGGAGTGAAGAATGTTACGGTAAATAGCCAACCGCCAGATTCATATATATTTTTCTGGCTATTGCTGTGATGTATAGTTAATGACACAGCAAAAAGCAAGTTATTTGTAAACTTTGTATTGCATAATCTGTGGAATTCTCATGTGTCTGTTCTGGATTGGAGTCTCCTAGGTAAACCCTCCAGAAAGGGGCTGAAGGAGAAAGAGAGGGTCTCTCCCCATTGAAAGACAGGGCTTCTGTGGAAGCCATAATAATCTACATGGCATACCTGGGCCTGCTCCCCCAGCTTTTGTAGGCTCCTCACCCAGATGCAGCCTTCCAGCCCCGTCGGATGAAGTGCATTCTCCAGCTGACTTATGCAGCCCGTGAGCTGCACAAACTCTGCCCCATCCGGGCAGTGGTGGTGCTAACTTGTGGGTAAGGAGTGATGGGTGTAAGAGCAGGGACGTT